GGGAGACATGTTCCAGACATACGCTATTAATGAGGCATTGCCAATGTAAATACGGATGTTCAGCATGAGGATTGACGGGGCACGGAACTAGTATCAGGCATAAGGATGCCAGGATCCATTAAGTTAGCATAAGTTAGACACGACGATATATAGAAACAGTTAAATACCTAGTTTTAAAAGTAGACACGATGAGGAACTGACGGCTGGAATGACGGGACACAATAGCTAACGCCCGACCCTGTAAATACATCTAGGTGAGTACACACAAACACACAAACACAGGCGGGACCAAAGAGCCAGAGCTCAACCCCCGCAAGCACAACTAGGTGAGTACAAACAACCAAATCAGTCACCACCACCCATTATTTGGACACGCGTTAATTTGTAAACAGTTAATAACGAGTTATAAAACCCCTAAAACCCCGACAAACAACCCCATCTCAAAGTCCACTGCGGGCTCACCATAGCCCGTGCTACTTAGAACTTTTTGTTCCAGGTAGCAAATCTTAAACAACAACAACAATCCCATCTCTACCATTCCAGAACCCCCCCCCCCCCACTCCCCCTCCCCCAAACTCCACACCCCATTTATTCTCCCCCCCCATCTCATCACAACTCGTGAACGACCTCCTCTTAACATATTTAGACACAATAAATTTCTATAAGCGGCGTGACAGGCGTGAAGCCCGGCGTCCTACGGGACCGGGCTCGCTCCCCTAATAGTCCGGGATGGAGCGTTGTCTATCAGGTTATAAGCCCCGTGGGACGGCTCTTTCACAGGGGGGCCGGATACAGCTCCCCAGAGGACCAGAGGGGCTTCGTGTCACGGTACACACACACAACTCTCCTTATCATCGCTATCTGAATCCGTTTATTGGGGATTTTGATGTGGTTGTGTGGGATGAGATGATGTCTGATACCCCCTTAGTGTATTATACACCCCTGCTTAGTGTATTATACACCCCTGCTTAGTGTATTATAATGTGAGGTGGGATTACTGGGAGCCGGAGAGACAGTGAGATCACGGCAGGTATTAAGTGTGTACTTGTCTATCTGTGGCTGCAGGGTCGAGCTTCAGTTCTTGGACTTCGCCTTTCTAGCCGGTGATTGGCTTGGCACTTTCCCCTGATAATTCCCTTCCCCCTCTAGCGACGTCAGGTCTAATTCTTTCAGTCTTCCTTCATAACCGATCCCTCGCAATTCCTTTCAACCTTTTGTAATTTTCTTATATTTTATATTTAGATGGAGACACCACGTTGGGACGACATACTCTAAGGTTGGTCTCACGTAGGTAGTCTACAGTGGTCTAAATGTTTCCTTCTTCTTGGGAGGTTATCTTGAGATGATTTCGGGGCTTTTCAGTGTCCCCGCGGCCCGGTCCTCGACCAGGCCTCCACCCCCAGGAAGCAGCCCGTGACAGCTGACTTACACCCAGGTACCTATTTACTGCTAGGTAGCAGTCTTCCTTACTTAGACTTCTGAACCATGTTCTCACTTTCGCTAGCGTAGAGTATGCAGCTGACGTTCACCCTATGCCCCTGTTACCTAGCAGTAAAATAGGTACCTGGGTGTTAGTCAGCTGTCACGGGCTGCTTCCTGGGGGTGGATTCCTGGTCAAGGACCGGGCCGCGGGGACACTAAAAAGCCCCGAAATCATCTCAAGATAACCTCAAGAAGAAGATCCTATTTCTACGAGGCAGTTTCCCTTCATTGTGTTCTGTCATTTTGCCCTCCTGTCACCTGTTGTCATTTCTATCACCTTACACTTGCTGGCGTTGAATTCCAGTTTCCGTTTCTTGGATTAAATCTGCAGCTTGTCTAAATCACCTTGGGAAGTTTCACAGTCCTCATCGGTGTCAACTCTTCTCATTAATTTTACATCGTCTGCAAACCTCGACATATAAGACTCAACTTCCTTGGGTTAGCTTAGTAATATAGATGAAAAATAGTATGGGTCCCAGCGCCGATCCTTGAGGTACTCTGCTTGTTTACCCTACGCCAGTCCAACGTCTTTCCCCCTCACTGTGACCCCTGACTTCTGTCTGTTAGGTATTCCCTACAACCCATCCTCTTAAAAATAACGTCACTTTTCGCTCGTATGCGCACTATGGCCAAATTTGGACGTACTCCCTTACCCATGTCAGTGCTGTTCTGCTTACTCTCGCTTGCCTCTCAAGAGGGAGTACTGTGAGATACTGTGTCATAGGCTTTTTGACAGTCAAAAATACGACCTTCCAACGCCTGTCCTGCCTTATTTTCGTCATTTGATCATAGTGTGTTGACATGCCTAATTCTCCCCTAGTGTGCGGGGGAACAACTCAGCGTGTGCAGGGTGGTGGGGGAGGAAATCAGGGACAAACGGACCCACGTGGAGGAAAATGATGAGATTTTTCTATGTTGAGTCTTGCGGCGGATGAGAACAAATGATCACATTAGGAATATTGTTTATGACATCATATTTCACGTTTTCTTCCCCACCCCTCTTCTCGCTCTCTCTCTCTCTCTCTCTCTCTCTCTCTCTCTCTCTCTCTCTCTCTCTCTCTCTCTCTCTCTCTCTCTGTCTCTCTGTCTCTCTGTCTCTCTGTCTCTCTGTCTCTCTCTCTCTCTCTCTCTCTCTCTCTCTCTCTCTCTCTCTCCTCTCTCTCTCTCTCTTCTCTCTCTGTCTCTCTCTCTCTCCTCTCTCTCTCTCTCTCTCTCTCTCTCTGTGTCTCTGTCTCTCTCTCTCTGTCTCTCTCTCTCTCTCTCTCTCTCTCTCTCTCTCTCTCTCTCTCTCTCTCTCTCTCTGTCTCTGTCTCTGTCTCTCTCTCTCTCTCTCTCTCTCTCTCTCTCTCTCTCTCTCTCTCTCCTCTCTCTCTCTCTCTCTCTCTCTCTCTCTCTCTCTCTTCGTTTATTATGTCTCTGCTTCATTCATCAGCAGGCGATGAGTCACAATAACGTGGCTGAAGTATGTTGAACAGACCACACACTAGAAAGTGAAGGGACGACGACGTTTCGATCCGTCCTGGACCATTCTCAAGTCGATTGCACAATCGACTTGAGAATGGTCCAGGACGGACCGAAACGTCGTCGTCCCTTCACTATCTAGCGTGTAGTTTGGTCAACAAACCATCATTTACAACCACTTAATTTATTTATTTGTGGAAACAAAGCCGCCAAAGATTGAGAAAAGATGTACAGGATCGTAAGTGCTTTCGTGAATCTGGCCGAATCAGTATCTGAATCTGAATCAGTAAATATGGTAGACGCTCCCACACGGCGCTTTCCCGCGCGTGAAGGCGTGTCGGCGTCCGTATGTCAGCGCCCGCGCGGGAAAACAAGTGCAGGGCGGGAGAGAGGGGGATCAACTGCCACGTGGGATCTGCTTAGATTCCGGATAATCGTGTTAGATCCTCCCCCAGGATAGTATCGATGTTCAGCTGTTTAAGCAATTCGGGGGGACGGTGTGGGGGAGAAGATTATGGGACTTGTCAGCTATGAATCTATGTTAGTCTTGCCCGCGGCGTGAGGGCTGACAAGTGTGGCCGCCAGGAGCTTGGCCGCCATCTTGGGGAATGTTTTGACAATGTTGGAATGCTCGTATTTTGGTTTTATTTGAATCCTCCAAAGGATACCTGATCAGCCAGGCTGTGACTCATACGTCAGGCTGCTAGCAGCCGCGTCCAACAGCCTGGTTGATCAGTCCAGCAACCAGGAGGCCTGGTCGACGACCGGGCCGCGGGGACGCTAAGCCCCGGAAGGTAACCATCATCGTATATAAAATAAATATCAGCAAAAAAGACAAAGATAGAGGTAGAGAATATATGTAAACTTGGGTTCAATTGCCTCACAGGGCTGTGACGTTTGGGCACGTTTCCTTTCACCTAATGCCTCTCTTCACCCAACAGTGAATAGGTACCCCGGGAGTTAGGCAACTATTGTAGGGTTGCATCATGGGGTAGATCAGTTGTTCTAGGCCATGATGTTGATAGACCATAGGCCTATCAAGGCCTATCATCATGGGCCTCGATAGGCCTCCCTGTCAAACAACAATAAACCTGACAATGAGGCTAAATAAACCCGCAGAAAAGTTTATTAATTAACCTATTAAGACCTGCTAACCAGGGGTCAGATTCACGAAGCAGTTACGCAAGCACTTACAAACTTGTACATCTTTCCTCAATCTTTGACATACGAAGCAGTTACGCAAGCACTTACGAACGTGTACATCTTTCCTCAATCTTTGACACACGAAGCAGTTACGCAAGCACTTACGAACGTGTACATCTTTCCTCAATCTTTGACATACGAAGCAGTTACGCAAGCACTTACAAACTTGTACAACTTTTTTCAATATTTGGCGGCTTTGTTTACAATTATTAAACAGTTAACGAGCTCCGAAGCACCAGGAGTTTATAACAATAACAACAGTTAATTGGGAAGTTTTCATGCTTGTAAACTGTTTAATAAATGTAACCAAAGCCGTCAAAGATTGAGGAAAGATGTACACGTTCGTAAGTGCTTGCGTAACTGCTTCGTATGTCAAAGATTGAGGAAAGATGTACACGTTCGTAAGTGCTTGCGTAACTGCTTCGTGTGTCAAAGATTGAGGAAAGATGTACACGTTCGTAAGTGCTTGCGTAACTGCTTCGTATGTCAAAGATTGAGGAAAGATGTACACGTTCATAAGTGCTTACGTAGCTGCTTCGTATGTCAAAGATTGAGGAAAGATGTACACGTTCGTAAGTGCTTGCGTAACTGCTTCGTATGTCAAAGATTGAGGAAAGATGTACACGTTCATAAGTGCTTACGTAGCTGCTTCGTATGTCAAAGATTGAGGAAAGATGTACACGTTCATAAGTGCTTACGTAGCTGCTTCGTATGTCAAAGATTGAGGAAAGATGTACACGTTCGTAAGTGCTTGCGTAACTGTTTCGTGTTTCCCATGTGCTCTTGTGTAAACAAACGTATATGTAAACACCACAGCTAAATGAAGTGTAATAATGATTTTATCTCACCCACAGCCGGCTACTCCCTGGAGCGGGCACCTTCCCGGCTCTCAGACTATGGCGACATGTCTTCCTCCTCATCCTCGCCCCTCGACTCCCCCCTCTCCCAGATTCTCTACAGCTTCGGATGATTGTCGGCCCACGCCCACACTTACGCCCACATCCACCAGCATCAGAGCGGCCTAGGAGACGAGGGCGCCGCGGACCACCAGCCCTCAAGGGCGCCAGAATCCCATCGCCTCGCCCTCAACAACTCTTCCGCCTCCTCCGAGGCCGCTATCCTGGGCATGGGCGCGGGCTTTGGCATGGCAGTCCTCCGAGGCGACGGGGGAGGAGGATATCAGGATGTGTACGAGGGTCCTGTGTCGCTGCGACGGGAGGATACATACCTGAAGCACAGCCAGGATTACAAGAGTCAGGATTACAAGAGCCACCAGGACTTCAAGAGCCAGGATTACAAGAGCCAGGACTTCAAGAGCCAGGAGAACGGGGGCTCTTGAGAGACCACCATCTTCGCTGCATGTGATTGGAAATAATATACATATACCAAAACGTAAACCAGGTCTATCAGGCATCCCATTAACCTGCATAGACACTCGACATTACTGATGGTATACAAGGCTACCAAAACAATACTTGTGAACTGCTAGCTTGTAGAATGAATCACTTATAACGTAGAAGAAACAAGTGCGGCGCTCTCACTGTGTTATCCCTGTGTTATCACTGTGTTATCAGGTGAGTAGAAAATATGGTTCACTCAACAGGTAAACAAGAGAATTATTAAGAGCGTCAGTCGCAAAGTGCAGTGAACAGTGACTTGCCGGCGTCGGTTAAATGGACCACAGTGCTCTATAGTGTCGACTCTCGTGTCTAATAGAGGGACCACAAGCTCTGTAGCGTCGACTCTCGTGTCTAATAGATGGACCACAAGCTCTATAGTGTCGACTCTAGTGTCTAATAGATGGACCACAAGCTCTATAGCGTCGACTCTAGTGTCTAATAGAGGGACCACAAGCTCTATAGCGTCGACTCTAGTGTCTAATAGAGGGACCACAAGCTCTGTAGCGTCGACTCTAATGTCTACTCACTAAAACCTTCAATTAATCAATTTTTTAGCTGTAAACAGCTAGGCGGGCAGTCGACATATGAAATCTTTTAAGACAAGGAGGATAAGATGGTTTTGATTTACATATTTAGATAAAAGATATCCCTCCCTCTCCCCTTCTCTCTCTCTCTCTCTCTCTCTCTCTCTCTCTCTCTCTCTCTCTCTCTCTCTCCTCTCTAAGTCTCGGGAAATCCAGTCTCTCCAAAATGAGCAACCTTTGGACACCTTTGCTTTTTTTATCCAAAATTTGCCAAAGAAAAAAGAGAAAAAACGAATGAAGATATTATTTGAATTGCAAATTCTTCTTTCGCGAAATCTGCATGTGTAATGAATGACTTGCTGGCCTGGGCTGTG